AAGGTCCTGGATTCGACTTACGCGTACGAGATCGTAGATGTGCACTGTTGAGGTGTCTCACAATAGAACGAGACGGCCGTTCAGTACTTCCAAGTCATTTTAATATCCGACTGCGACTTTTGTATTACTACTATCTAAAATATAAAACGAATGGTAAAAATTTTGAAGCTCACCATTATAATTACTAAATAATAAATAACCTGAGTAAACCTATCACAAAAACGTATTTAATTTGAAAGATATAGACCAACTAAATGATACACTATTAAAACAATAAATGATTCAGCTTTATTCAAAGATTACCTGTGAATAAATAGTTATCATTAAGTACACATAAAAATAAAATGCTTCTTTTTTACTTTTTCTAACTCTAGTGATTTGAAGAGATATTCTAATTAATCAGTAAAATGTGTTTTGGAAACCGGTCATTTTCATTTTTAAATCAGTGAGTAAACACAACTTGAAATCACACTAAGTGATGCCGTTGCATTCATTAAATATTCTTCTCTGGATATTGAACCCATTGTCATTTCAAAGATTTTGTTCTTGCATTTCATTTGCTACTTTTGGACTATATTATTTTATATTTAGCCTTTCGCTGTAATAAATATATTTCTTTCTACTTCATCTATTGTTAATTTCCTCAATCACATTGTTGAAATGATGCTTGGAAACTTAGACTCGCAAACTTATATATTATGTTGTAACTTGTCTAGGATTGAATAACCTCGACAATTAGTTTGTGTGCTTCAAAAAGCATTTGAAAAGGTGAATTTCGATAAGCACACCGTGAGGTTGTCTGAAGAATGGGATTATTGACATATCAATTTATCAATGGATTACTATGGGCACCTAACTAAAGCAAGGTAATTTTGTTTATGTCACGGACTTAGATGCGTGAATAATTCTGTTATCCGATAGAAACAAGCGCATAATTTTGCATAAATAATAATCTAAAGTGTTCTTAATTTATCTTATTATCCTAATACGAACTTTTCAAAATATGAAACTTGGATAATATTTATTCTATGATGGTAATTTACTAAACTAATGTAGCAACATCAACTGAACCCAGAAAAATTAACCATGCATCTCTGCAAACTATACCAAGATTTTTATAGTTTCTGGATTATAAAAAGTATGCAAGAAGTTGAGAATATGATTGTATATCCAAGCTTCTGCTGGTAGAACTATGTTACTAAATATTTGGATCGCTATCAGCAAAATTTATAATGCCATAGAGATTGGAAAAACAGTTAAATTTGTGTGATATATCTCTATAAAGAAGGATAGCACTAAGAAAATAAAGGTTAACAAAACGGCCGAGTTAAAATTGGGAATAGCTGATAGGAGACGTATAAGGTTATTGAATACTGCAAAAAAAGACCAAAGGAAAGAGGTAAGCTCATAAAGCTCCTCTAATTCATATATTAGTACAGAATGAAGAACCACTTTGCTAGGTCAATTTCCATCAACTGTTCACAACAACTTGTACGAGATTTTAATGATCATTCATTCCAGTACTTTCAACTGTTAGTTAGATAGACGACAGTTATGATGATGCTGTATCGTTGTGTTGTACTTTTTGTACAAAACAAAATGTGCTTTAGAGATGTATCGCTGCAGAAAACGTTTAGCTGATAAAACGCTCTAAATAACAGAAGGAATGGTGTCATTCAGTTCTTCAGTAATTGAAATAGAAAAATAAGTACGAGAAAACCTACGACCTTAATATCAGTTTTGGGTCATTGCTTATTAAAAACCATTAGCCGCTAGTAAAAAAAATCAATAATAAAATGCTTGTAAGACTATTCACATAACAAATAGCATAAAACATTTCTCTAAAGGCCAAACAGACAGACTTTTTGGATGTTGGATACCATGAAACAAAACATCTCTAAATAAAATGAAATGTGGGAAATAGAACAATAGGTTAGGTTACATGATGTTCTTAATGCTTGTCAAATAAATCAGTTTTCCCAGGAACCTCATACATTCCAGTCATTTAGTCACTTTGGACATTGTGGAAAATCGCTTTTATTTCCGATGGTGATAAAAAGATCTATTGTACCAAACTACCGAGTCATTGAGAAAACATTATTCTATCAAAACAGACTTTAATCTTCACGGCCAAAATCTGTCTCATCCTATTAAAATATGCAACTACAAAAATGAAATCTAATGTAGTTGTAAGGACATTTAATCTCACTGCAAAGCGGACAAAAGCCTATATGAAGATTTCCATAATAGACCTTCCTGCAAATTAATTTTCGTTGCTCACAAATCCAGTGTTTGATATGAAGTGATAGGATACTATTGGATAAGACTTAGTTTATTAACAGTAAATTATGTAAAATACCGATTAATATTAAACCGGTTACTAGTTACGTAGTTGATACAACTTGTTATATATCTTAAAAGCAATGTCATTAGCTATCATAGACTACTGAATAGAGCTGAAGTTACTGCTTCCAGTTTACTCACCACGGTTTTAAATTGTTTTCGAGTGTTTGCAAGTTTATATATGGACAAGAGAATCTAAAGGAGTACTTTATTTAGAGGTTTATTGAGGCAAAATTGCAGGAGTTCTTTAAGGAAACTGTTTGATTATTGGGTAATGACATGTTTAGACTGTTGCCTTAAAGTAATGAGTTATTTTTCAGGTTACATCATCCAAGCCACACTTTTTGTTACTAAACGCTGAAGGCTGAGACATGTTAGTCTATAAGCTACTAAAAACCCATCGAAAAGTAGGGTGCTTTTAGAGTGAGAAGATGGCGTATGAAGTCCATAACAGGGTCAAGTTTCCCTATATGTCAAACTACCGTCAGACTGCTTTCATGTTTACTATCTTAAGATCAAAGTACATATGACGATAAGTGAGTCCCGACTGTTAGTCCTAGATTGTTATGCAGACTTGATGATATGAAATCTGTTAAATGAAGTATATATTGATGAAAACTATCACAAGGGTTAATGAATGTAATTAATTTTCTACAATTAGATCTGATGATTAAGCACATTGATGTAGTGCATCTAACTTACTAGATATTGAATTATTTCGAAAAGAACAGAAAATGTGTTGTCTTGGATATAAGATTCATATGAATATTTATCCAGTTCTCCAAGAAGTAACTCCACAAAACATTTCATAAGGTATACATGAAAATCTAGATATTATGAGTGCAGAGATAAAAAAGTATCCTATTATAATTAGCAATGAAAGTCATTGTTAAATAAAAGACAGTGCAACATTTTGTATCTTAGTGTTTGACAATCTTGGCGCATCTATAATTGAGCTCATTCTCCTTAAATATACTCCATCTGACAACCTCCTAAACTCTAAGCACGTTGAATAAACGAATGTTTTTCTAGACTTATAAGTTTTCTATTGTAATAGGCTCTGTACCATTATTTTTCCTTCATCTTCCAATTACTTTTAATCATTTAACACATTGATTCATTTTCCTAGTCAAGATAGTGAAGAGTTAAACCACCCATTGGCTTAGTTCACTTAGTTTTATTGGTTCATAGAATCACATTGATGCGAACCATTTATAAAAGTTCTTGATTATATGAACTGTTCATCATAAAACATTGGAAAATGATATAAAGCGATTTTCAGTAGCTTCTCTACAAAACAGATTCATCCAATAACAAATGCTGCTTAGGTTAACACTGTGACGAAATATAATGCATCTGATGATCAGTAAAATACTACTCACTTATTTAAAAAAAGCCATAGGACATTTGAATGTCAATTATTCGGTTTATACAGATCATTTGAACGAGGTTTAGGTACTTTCGCCCTAATCAACCATTTTCAACCGATGTTAATTTTAAGAAACGTTTCAACACTCATCTATGACTAAAATGAATAGAGAAAAACCGTTTTTTTCGGGGATAGATAAAAACGTCTCAGGAAAAAAGGTTGATAAAATATACTTATTTTTAGGAACCATTTTTGAGTCACCTAACCATATCGAAAAAAGTTCAAGCTCTGTTCATACCATTATCATTAACAACTACGTAAGGATTTTGGTCAATAAAACAATAATTAACACATTTTATAAAGTTTTTAGCAAGCCAAACAATAGTAAAAAAACAAGACAAAGCCTTCCAGACTAACAATATTTGAATAATTTACGGTGTAAAAAACAGCCGAAAGATTAAAATAAAGACCAAAATGTGATAGTGTCAAAAGAATCAGATTATTTTGATCTGAAACAAACGTTATTAAGAAATCAAACAAATTACTGACAGTTTTGTCGTCATTCCAAATGAAAAATGCAGGACACTTTATGGTAACGACATAATCCTTCAAGCGTCATGTAAAATTATATTTAGTAATCTATCATAATAGTGAACAGGCATGATCCTTCATATTTTGTAAACGCCATATGTACAGAACAGTAAGGAACTGAATATTTACAGAAACGTGGTGAAACGTTGGCGATTAAGTGGTTCAGTAAGTTAAAGAATAAGAACGGTCGGTTGCAGAATGAGACCGGCTTCATCAGAAGAACGAATTTTAACACATGATTTAGACTAAAAATATGAAACTGTTCAATATATACAGGAAAGGATTTAATATGAAAGTCACAAGTTTTGGTGCAAACTTTTCTGAAAAAGCTGTAGATCTATGAGCATGAGTGCATACTGATACTTTCCACGTTCACTTCTTAATATATGCATATATTACAGCAAGTATATATTTCACTCACATTCTAATAACGGTTTCATATATTAAGATAAACGACATAAGACTGCATACATACATGTTTATTCAGTAAATCGAGCAATAAAGAGAATACAAACCGTCAGTTTTCAATCAAACGGTAGTTTAATTGTTGAGTTATACAGTAATCAAAATAATCTACAAATGTCATTTTTATGAACCATGTAATTTTTTAAGACACCGATAGCTGTCGGAATCGGAACTTGTGTAGTCAAAATCATCAGAAGAGTCTGTATCCGTTGAAGTGGTTAGATGGCTATTACTATCATCATCTTCGTCAGATTCTGTATCTGAATCGTCAGTAATGGAGTGAAAAACACCAGCAGTTTTCATGTAATCCGCTTCGTTTAACAACGGAAGAAAGTCGTGTATCTGTGAGTTGTTTGGCTCAGACTCAAGAATTTGCTTAGCAAGATTTATAGCTTGTCGAAAATCTTTAGACATAACACAATTACAGAACTCAAGAAATAATTCAAGATTCGAAACTTCAGTAGTGTCGTTGGCATTAACTCCATTTAAATGTTTCATTGTTGTTGTTTTGGACATTACACCTTAAGGCTGTTTATTGAAAATGACGGCTAACGCTGTCATCACGACTTCTAACCCGTAACTTGGTAACAAAACCGATTTGTTGCTTCAACATAAAACCTTGAATAATGAACCGGTGGTTGATAAAAACAAGCTTGAACCGATAAACGACACATCTATGACGACATTGTGTAACACAATGTATCTATTCGAACATATTTCTTATCATTGTGGAAGATGCCTCAACTATTTGTAGTTCGATAACGCATTTACAATCGTGGAGATATGCAAGACAAACTTATTTTGTAACTAGTTTTTGGTGTTATTTGTATTTATTCTGTTAAATTTTCACAGCCTGCACATTTACCATTAAACGATTGCACGTGTTGTTTAGATGTACGACCCTGAACACACTTTCTTCCGTCATGTCACATTCATAACACGATACACGCTGTTATCTACTAACAAATACACTGCTATTCACACACATCTTGTTTTCTATTGTTTGTGGTTGTGATAACTGAAGTCTAAATCACCTAATGTCTACATTTATAGACTGCAGCCAAACCTATATTCTACGTTTGGCTATATCACTGGAAAGACACCAATCTTACTGGAACAATCAATCATCTATAATTGTGGATTCTGATACCAAACTCAACGTGAACACGAAGATGTCATCAAAATTAAGTAACGTCCCTAAATTTAATTATTTCTATAATGTTTAAATAATATATATATATATATTGTGGTGTTCAGTAATCAATATAATCCTTAAACTTCGTATACAATTCGTCTTGATAACCGTCACTGGATAACGTTCCAACGGTATATTAATCAAAAGGCGAATACGAAGTGTTGATTACATTTGTTATGGGCCCTCACACAGATATTCAAAATTACAGGTGCATTAAGCAATCATGAAAGAGTTTCGCCGAAAAGCAAGCAGGCAAGCGAGTGAGTCAGCAAATAAGAGTACCAGTAAGCGAGCACAAATAAGCGAGAGAGAGAGAGCAATGAACATGAATAACATGGACATATATATACATAGTGAAATGAATGAATCATCGAATCAATTAAGCGGTTAATATTAAGGCTAACAGCGTGAATAAATGCGTAGGCAGTAAGCAATGCTCAAGCATATATGTTCATACATTCGCAACAATAATAAAGATACAATGATATAGATAAGATATTGTTGTTGTACAGATGACTCAGTTCATTAATAAGTTAACAAAATGACCTAATACAATTAAATGTGAACAAACTCAATTGCACGTGAGTTGATTTAATAGCTCCCCTCAGCAAACAAAGATACAAAAGTGTCTGTGTTTGCGAAAAAAATGTCAAATTTAACAGAATTGTAAATATCGAAATTTATGGTATTAAGATGTATGATGGAACTATGGTGTAAGTTATTACAAATACGTGTAAGTTTGAGTTCGTATATGTCCATGAGGCCAAATAAGATAATAAAGGGAGATTGAAATAATACATAAAATATATCGAATATAATAGTAGATAAGTTAAAATTTTCGATGTGTACACAGAGTACGAAGATGAAAGAAATTGACATTCGAAGAGGTGAAAGAAATTAATTATTCAAAATCGTAGCTATGTTGTTGCGGCCATTTCACTCTTCGACCATATTTTATAGTTACTGGATTCTCTTCGTTTGTGTCCATCGATGTCGTTGATGATTAAAACCTGACGTTTCGGTGATTCGACGGTTTTTGCAGTATCTCTATATACTGGCTGTTCGTCAGTTTCAATGAAAGCTGGTTTGACTCAGTTGATGCTAATTATGTCCGTTTTTCCAACTTTGTTTACCATAATAGTTTTATCATTTCTTCTAATTACTTTGAATGGACAATCATGGACCAGTTGTAATGGGTGCCGCACATTATCCCTTCTGATAAACACATGGGTACTGTCGCTCAGTTGTTTTGGTATGTACACACGGTGTTGATGTTGCCTCAGAAGCATTATCCTTGGATTACTCATATGCTGCTATAGATGTTGTACATAGTTGGCTATATCAGTTGAAACGCTTTTGCCTGAGGTGAAAAACTCTCCCGATAGACGTAGATTAGTTCACTAAACCAATTTTGCTGGGCAATATCCTATATCTTGTTTGATTGTTGATCTTAAACTCAATATGACTAATGGGAGCTTGCTGGCCTAATCATTATTACTAATGACAGCTGTAAGAGAGGCTTTAAGTTGTCTATGTAATTTCTCTACCATACCATTCGACATCGAATGGTAGGATGTTGTATGAATTCGTTTGATTCCGAGGAGCTCTGTGGGTAGTTGAAAGAGGCGGCTCTGAAATTGGACTCCTCTATCGGTTGTAATATTAGTAGATACGCCGAAATAGGAAATCCAATGCCCTACTAGGGTTTTTGCCATAGTTTCGACTGCAATGTCTTTTACGGGCACTGCTACAGGTCATCGCGTGAATCTATCAATACAAGTGAAAATTTAACTAAAGCCATTCGAAGTCGGCAGTGATCCCACAATGTCGAGATGTGTATGCTCGAATCTGCTGCCGGGGTAACGGAAATGACCTACTGCGGAACGGGTATGGCGATGTATCTTAACTTCCTGGCATTTTATACACGCTTGCGTCCAGTTACGAATATTCTGGCTCATTCTTGGCCATACGAAACGTTCGCCGATTAGTTTGATGATGGCCTTTATTTCAGGATGCGAAATATTGTGCATAGCTTCGAAAATGTTTCGGCTTAGTGGTTTCGGAATAGATGATCGTGGTTAGCCTGTAGGAATATCACACATGATGGTTACCATTTTTATTGAAGTTTCTTCGAGTACTACTGAGGTTGTATTGACAGACTTTAGTCTGAAAATCGGTTTCGGATTGGATGAAAGCGTTTACCATCGTCCTGGATAACACGTTATTATTGCCTTTAATATACTATGTGTTAAACGCAAATCGGGAAATAAATTCTAATTCCCTCGGCGAATGGTTACTTTGTTTGGCGTGTAATCCTTTTGTGAGGGGTTTATGATCTGTATATACTGTGAACATGGTACTCCCAATCATAATTCGGAAATGTTCTATTGCTAAGTCAATTGCTAATAGTTCTCTTTTAGGCATACTAAATCTCTTTTGAGTAGGAATTAATGTCTTAGAGAAAAATGAAAGTGGTTCCCACGAACCGTTTACTAATTGCTGCAATACGGCTCCTACTGCTATGTTCGATTTGTCCGTCATGAAGGCTAAAAGTTTCTTCGTTCTTTCATCGTATTCACATCGTCTTTTTGTCTAGCGCTCGCTTAGCGTTCTTATAAGCCTGCACAGCATCCGCTGAACGACGGAATGTTCGGGTATGTCCTCGCAAAGCGTCCGTCAATGGTTGTTATATTGTTGCGCAGTTTGGAATAAATCGTCTATAATAGTTTATTAGTCTCAAAAATCGACGTAATTTTCTTTGTGATTCGGGCGACGGATAATTACAAATAGCAGCAACTTCTTTTAGAACTGGCAATATACCATGTTATTTTATCATATGACCAAGGAATTGCAATGATTCCTTTCCAAATCCACACTTCTCCACATTAATAGTGACGCAATGTTCTTGAACTTTCGTAAACAACTGTCGTAGATGCTGCAGATGTTCCTTCACGGTAACGCTAGCTACTAGTGCGTCATCGATATATGCGTATGCTCCTGTCAAACCCCTAACAACCTGATCGATGAATCTCTGGAAGGTTCGGGCTGCATTAGTTAATCTGAAGGGCATTCGCGAAAACCCAGAAAACCTACATGGAATGGTTACAGCCGTTTTAGGTATATATTTCGCCGCCAAAAGAATATGGTAAGAAGCTCGAACAAAATCAATTTTTGAAAATATCGTGGCACCTTCCATACTGGTAGTAATGTCGTGGACATGCGATACCGGATATCTGTCTGCTATAGTTTGCTTGTTAAGGGCTCTATAGTCTCCGCATGGCCTGATTTATCCATTCTCTTTGGGAACCATATGCAACAGGGATGCCCATGGACTATTAGATGGTCTTATGATACCAAGCTTCATCAATTTTTCGAACTCTCGTTTGACAATATTCAACCTTTTTGGAGCTAACCTCCGTGGCCGTGCGTTAGTCATGGGACCTTCCGTTATAATATGATGCTGTACTATATGTTTAAGATCTCTGTTATCGTATAATGCCCCCGTCAAATCAGCGTACTCATTTGGAAGCGATCTATATGGTTCACGTTTGTCTTTTGACACTACTAAATTCATGGATATGTGATCAGTTGTCACTTCTCTTATCACTACTGAATGGTCTCCGCTCACCAGCCGGTCTCGTAGGGCATCCAGTAGTAAGTCGAAACTCTAAGAAAGCAATACCAATTATAGGTACGGATACATCCGCGATAATGAATTCCCAGCGGAATGAAGTACAATGACCAGAATTCAAGGTTACTATAAGTTTGCCATATGTTTTTATGTCCGATTTATTTGCTGCCTTTAGCGTTACAGCTGTAATAATATTTCATGTTTCGTTACTTACCGGAGGTATGACCCTTACTTCTGCTCCCGTGTCCACTAAGAAATGAGTGCCTGTTACTCTGTCCTGAACGTAAAATAAACGACTCTTTCTAGGAGGTATTCCAGTTGTAGCGGCGGTTACCGACAATCGGTGTGGTCGTTTGAATTTACATGGTGGCCTACAGTTTCGAGCTTTGTCGCCGAACGTTTGATGCTATCAACATATTGTGGGAGCTGAGCGTCTTCTAGAACATGATCGTCTTCTATGTCTCCATCTACTTCGCGATCATCACCTTTGCACGTTGCTCTGAGTTAGCTTCGTCAGCATGTGGCATAAAACGTTAATCTGTAGTGGCATTGGACCATAAACACACACTCCTCAAAGCTGAATACGAGATTACTCGGAAGATAGATATTCAATATTGAACGCGAAGAAATACCTAGCAATGGAAAAGACGGGAACAGTTAATTGAAGGACTGGAGTTGATCGGATGGCAT